CAATTTATTTTTATAAACAACTTCACCAACTAACCTTGGACCAACTTCATTCTTACTACCATTGGTCAAAATCCATGCATCTATAACAGAAACTGACAAACATGCCATTATTCGTTCCTAAAAGCATCGTTCTCGAGCATTTTTGGATAACTATTTTATACTGCCATAGCGAAGACCGAAATGTCGCCACTTCACCCAACATGATCAATCTCTCAGGTCTTCAGTTCACTTAAGGGCCTCCCTTCTCAGAAATTATCTCAGACATCGTACATCCAGTCTTGACGAAACTTTCCATAAATGTTAGGCACAATGAGTTACAGGAATAGAAGAGTTTTTTGTCTCCAAGTCTTACCGTTTAGGAACTTTCCAGAGATCAAGGTCCAGAAAGAACCTTAAAGTTTTTTCCATAATTTTTGAGGATACTTCAAGCTAGAGAGTTTGGGCTTGTTATATTTGAAACTAGACACCTAACTACATAGGCTGACCGGCGCCGATTTTCCAGTTAAAACCCTTATTCGTTTTGTAGAAACCCAACAACCTCAGAAGTCCGAAAAACTCTTCGTGGTTTTCTAGAAATCCTCGGTTTGACAAAAAACTAAGACTTAACTGAAAAGCCAGCGGCGGTCAGTGCGTGCAGCAAGATGTCTAGGTTAAAATAAAACAAACCCGAACTCTCTAGCTTGAAGTACATTAAAAAATATTGGGAAATACTTCATGTGTAATTCCCATGCAGAGAAAACGCTGTGCATTGGTTGGTCCAGTTTAGGACTTGTAGGAAAATAATGGTAACTTTTTGACGCAAGGTCATACAGAGTTGTGCTATGTCTTATCTCGATCAGAACAGTTTGCTCTACAAATCTATGCGTTGGGAAAAAAATTGAATTGCATACGTATCTAGGAAAACACTATCATTCGAAGACCCGGTTGTTCGAGGCTCCTAGAAAACGTGCGCGACAGCCGCAAAAAATCACTTTAATCAATTTAACACTAGTCGATCAGGTAGGTCGCAGTAAAACTGAGTTCTTCCAAGTACTATAGTACAGCGATGCAGCCAGTTCTGGTCGACACTTAACAATCAGCTTGCTTGACTGTGTCTGCTACTGCACCAGTCAAGCCGCTGTACCGAGTCTGATCAGTCTGTAATTAAAAAATGTGATTGGAAAACAAAAGTGCATTTGGTAGCATTTTGTACTGCTCGGAAGAAGAAAATAATTGTAATCATATTCTCTGCTTGAAGTATTCATACTCTTCGTCATCCCAAAGGAGTTCTAGGAAAATCCAAGTACCGGTCACTTACCGGTGAAAATTTTTAGAAAAGTTGTCGATCAACCGGTTTGTCAGATTCGGTCAGCAGGTATCTGCCCGGTATCGGTTATAGTTTTGTTGACCGGTTGTATCTCTATTATACAAGGGGGACACTCTGAAGCTGGCTAGACTGGTAAACGAAATTAGCAGCGATCTACTTTTTCAAAGAGTGTCTAATAATCACATTTGCACATTCAGTTTCCGTTAATTTCTGGATATAGAGACAAATACAGTGTGACTTTTACTCGTATTGTTGTCAAAGATTATTCCAAAAGATGACCGACAGCTATGCTTTTTTAAACGGTTTGTAGCTCTTTTTATTGGAACAAAAATAAATTACCTGCTCCGAGTGCAGCTTCCGTGACATCTTCAATAAATTCTTTTTCGAATTGTATAGGTAATATCGAACCGAATCCACCAGTGATCGACAAGACTATATCCGGTTTTTTCATTTTCCATAAGTTGAACATTACAAGTGTCAATGTTTCATACGAAGTACGAATGTCACAGCGAATATACTTTTTCGATTGAACGAAAAGAAAAGAAAACTATTTTAATAATAGTTTTCTTTTTATTTAAAAGTACATTATTTAAAAGTAATTATGAAATAAGAAAAAGCTCCCTTGATTGTAAGTCTAGAGAAGGAGACAGCTGATTGTTCGTATCTCTCGTTAAATAGCACAGAAGATAATTTCATTTCCTAGTAATCCCCTGCTAGTCGTTTCCTCTTTTTTGAGCGACATCTAACTAACTCACTACCGTGAAATCTATACTATCCCTCGATTATCTCCTCTTAAGAGCATCTCTCGACTTTTATCACACATGAAGCTTGTAGTCAGTGGTAAAATTTTTATTCTTGCGATATACCTGTGCGCTTGTATTTTCTAAGTTAGCGTAAGCATTCGTTAATTGCGTTTTCGTATTATTCTCAATTGACCACATTGCATTTTCATCTGTATGTTTCTGAGGAACGTGTAACCAACGATGTTCGTGTAACCAACGATTACATACACATAAATTATCGTCTACACTTAAAACAGAAAAAAACGAAGAAGAATCAACATTTTAGAGCAACCGACAGATTATCTGATTTAAAGTATAAAACCTTTTTGATTTTACTTGCGATGGTTTCGTGGTTGATATATTATACAATCTCGACGATGGATCTGCAGCTTTTCAATCCATCCTGTTGAATGCCATTCTTGTGAAGACTAAAATGAAACACCAGAGAATAGTTATAAAAGTTAGTCGAAGAAAAAAATCCCAAAGTATTATACTGATACGAACCAGAGGCAACGCACAAACAGATTGTCCAGCTAAAGTACCACTAACGGGCTGTCGAGCCATATTTTGTGAATTTACAGAATCATTTCTTAAAGATGGCAAAAAATCTGAAATAACTGATACAGTAATTATCCAACAAACTGGAATTGTTAAATTCAGCTCAACACAGACTTTTCACGTAAATAAAATTGTGTTAAAAAAATAGAGAAAAACTATTAAAAGGTTGAAAAAAAAGCGCCAATGAGAAAAATAAAATTTAGGCAAAAACCACGTAGATTATGTCGACACCAGAAAAGAAGTCAAGGTATAATTATAAGGAACCCGCTGTCGGATTCACCGAAAAATTTTGCACATAGCACCCAACTTTTACCTAATTTGGTGCAGCGCGGAAAAAGTACATAATTTTCTAATGGTGCTTCATAATTTAGTGTTGTTTTAATTGAGTTTTTAAACTTTTATTTCGTATGCTGATACTTAATGTTTTATTAGTTTCAGTATGATAACTAGGCGTGTAACGATAATGATAATTTATCGGTTTATCGTACCTTAACGATTATCATTATCGTAGTTATCGCTTCATACCGATAAAACCGACAAAGTTTCTGACTAACGAGGAAACATTGCTAGATGCCCCGCTCCGATTTCATTCGTTCAAACATCATTCGATAGGGGGTCTCGAGTAGGTAAAAAGCCTAAAAGGATATCGGCCGATGACTCATTAAGGCCCATTTTTCTGGAAAACCAGTTTTTCAGAAACCCTACCAGAATGACCAAAACCTTTATTAACGAGGCATGATTGTAGCCCGTGAAGTTCTCATCAAAATGAGACATCTCCCAGCTCTGCATGCTCTTTCTTTGCAAAGTTATAGAATTTGCACAAAAAGCCCTAAATTAATTTCTTCTGATTTCTGCAGCTTTGAGCTGACAATGAACATTTAGAGCTTTTCTTGCAAATTCTATAACTTTGCAAAGAAAGAGCATGTAGAGCTGGGAGATGTCTCATTTTGATGAAAACTTCACGGGCTACAATTACGCCTCATTAACAAAGGTTTTGGTTATTCTGTTAGGGTTTCTGAAAAACTGGTTTTCCAGAAAACTGAGTCTTAAAGAGCCATCGGCCGATATCCTTTTAGGCTTTTTACCTACTCGAGACACCCTATCGAATGATGTATGAACGAATGAAATCGGAGCGGGGCACCTGGGAATGTTTCCTCGTAAGCAAAATTAGAATAGAGAAAGTGAGTTGGTAGCGAAGATAAACTCAATGTCTTCGCTAACATTCTTTATTCATTCTTTTCTTCTTTGAATCAGAAAACCAGCAAATAAGGAGGTATGTCTTCTCACATGCGCATGGTGTATACCTAAAACATATCTTTCTTTTCGATTCTTGGCAAATGTCTACTGTACATATTGCAACTTTCTCTATTCTGATTTTGTTTAGCAAGCGGTAGAAACTTTATGAGTTTTACCGGTAAGAACCGATAATCGTTATCGTTGCATGCCTTACGGTAACATATCTTAGCAGTCAAGACAAATTTAGAAGAATTGATCTATAGATCAACTCAATCTAGTTATGTTACCATATCGAAACGTCTAGTGTTTAACAAAATATTAAATACTGATACTCAGATCCATGATTACGACTGTCGTAAACGATCGTATCCGGCAAATTACGCTGTCATAATGTGGCGTGTACTATGGTATGTCGTCGTATTTTGACGTAAATCCGGCCAACGTATTACGTCTGCCGTTACGACCGTCGTATTTGAACATAAACGATGTCGTTTACGATTGGCGTAATACGCTGACCGGATTTACGTCAAAATACGACGAAATACTATAGTATACGGTCGTGAATTATTGACCTGGGTATACGAAATAAAAGTTCACAAAACTCAATCAAAATATAGCGCATTCCAATATTTTATGAATTAATTGCCGACAGAAAAATAAAAATAAATAGTACCGTAGATACTGGTTACTGCTGCTCAAATTACTGATGTTTTTAATCGGTTTAAGGTATCTGACAACACAAAGGAATCAGTTTAGGTAGTCTTTTAAGACTAATGTGCTCGAGGATCATGAGAGGTGGATACTCTCTAAAAAAAATCCGTAGCTTACAAAACGAATAGCGGTTTTGGCATTTGCTCCTAATAGAAACCGATATCCGTGTCCTACAATCCTGCTTAATCGTTTCGCAGAATACGCTTCAACGTTTTTTGCCTTGTGAAGAAACGGATTTAGGTTTTGTATCAGAGAAAAAACGTTGAAACGTATTCTGCGAAACGGTTATGCAGGACCGTACGATATGGATATCGGTTTCTATTAGGAGCAAATGCCAAAACCGATATCCGTTTAGTAAGCTACGGATTTTTTTTAGAGAGTAGATGAGACTAACATAGACCGAAAAGGCCGTTTATGCTGTAATTCACGGATAGGGGATTAAGAGGTTGCCATGAAAACTATTTAAGCAGTGGCCTGCGTTTCCAGAGACCCGTATGGTACATATCACCTGAAACTTTGGCTTTACCCCTCGGCATCGTAGAAAGATACAATCAGATCTTCTTGGTTACAGGAACGGTCTAAGAACATTCCCGATCTTTGCCTAAGGCTAGTTGGAAGTTGTTCAGAACGTGGTCGAGGCTACAGCTTCTCTAATCCGACAGTAAGTGTAATAACATATATATGTTATTACACAATTTTAAAAGTGGTATATATCACTTTTACAATTGTATAACACAGTACTGTGGCCGATGACAACTAGGAAGAAATCTAGTTGAAGTTCATACGATTGATTTAAGTGAGAACGAAAGAAAACACTCTACTGATTATTTCTTTATGTTACACACAATTAGAAGTTTTGAAAATGATCTCGTTATGAAAGGATCCAGTTTTTCCGCTACGAGAGGATGGATGTATAAAATTATGGCTATTGACTTGTGTGAACGAAGAAATTAACATATGGAACACATTATTGATTTGTCGTTTAATTTGACCTCTTGCGATTGACGATGCTGCTGCTCGTTCTTACTCTTTTCTGCTTCGGTCATAACTATGTTCTTTATTTCTTCATTTAGACTTGCAATAGTTTTCATATCATCATCATTAAAGTATTGCTTACTTTCAAGATTGAAATTTACATTTACTTTCAAGGTGAATATTTTACATCTAGGTTCGTTATCTGTACCTGTTACCACATTTTCCAACCAATCTGATAAGCCATATTCCTCTTTTCCGTGTGTTAGTCTCAACACAATTATGTTTTTCTTCAATTCCGACGCATATTTAACTGTTTGCCGACAGTAACGGGAAGAACAGTAGTGTCTCGATCCAACAATAAGTATAACAGAAGCATGTTGTATAACATATTTCAATTCTTCCCAGATAAATTGTCTATTAAGTTTATCATCGTCTTCGGTTACGCTCTTCTGTTGTGGCTGATGAGCGTTTTCAGCGTTGAAAGCAACTAAAAGTAACAATAATGACAATATCCGATGTACAAGTTTAATTACAGAAGTTTTCGAGTCAGATCTGTCTTCTACTCCACATTCATTTGTAGGCTTTTTCCATTCTTGCAGATACAAAAATATGAGATACTGATTAAAAATAGATTGATTACAAATATTTACAAATATTTGTATCCTTGTAATATTGTAACCTTGATTACAAATATTTATCTTTTTTTTTCCTGCATAAAAATTCGCACACAAAGGATCTCTCGCTCAAGTCCCAAGTGTGTGATGTTAAATATTAAATGACATTGTCCTCCGGAAAAATCTAATATAACGCCCGTTAAAAAATTGTATATTCTACCGTTTCGATTTGTTCGGACTTGACATTGTGAAATAGTATTTATTTCTCATAGAATACTCGAAGGGAAAAATGGGTTTTGATCACCAGAAAAATGACTTTTGATTATTGACCTGGTCCTGGTCATTGTATTTGCTAAATTAATTAATAACAAAGGCTTGTGACATACTTTAAAATATAAAGGCTGAAAGAGAAAACATTTTTGTACAAAATGCGTGCTCAAATAACAGTTTACCACTGAAGTTAATGGAATGGCACGCAAATCTTTTACCGGGACCAGAAAAAATGTTTGGGCCTAGTGTTCACCTCTAGACAATGATTAAGTTTTTTGAAATTTTATTGGTTTTGTCAACTTACAAGAACTATAAATAACTGCCCTAAACTACAGACGATATCATCAAAAAAATATAGATAGTAAGCAATAAAAAATCGAAGCAAGAATGGAAAGTATTATACATAGCTACATCGTCCGATGAAGCAAAAGAATACGCAAAATTACAGTTTAATATTTGCCAAGATCGCCGATCAGATTTAAAAAACTATAAAAAAACAATAAAATTTCAAAAAACTTAATCATTGTCTAGAGGTGAGTCACAGCGAAAAAGTATATTCGCTGTGACATTCGTACTTCGTCTTAAATAGAATTTCAAAAACCATCAGCTGTTGACATATTTCATATATGTTTCATATTTCTGATCACAGTTCTTCTTGTCTATATTTTCTTTATATTCTTTTTCTCGCCTGTCCACTATCTTTTCTGTGACAAGATTTGCTAGAACACTAGTTTTCCAGGCTTCAGGCTTTGGAAAGAAGAAGTCACTGTGGGCTCAAACTCCGTAATGACCTATATCTCCTTTCTGCGCAAATGACAGCCTAGGTGTTCTGTACAAAATTCGAGTCAGGCGAGATAGTCATTTATGATAGCTTTCTACGTGTACTGAGCTTCAATGAGAGCAACCTGATCGATAATCCACCGGAACCAGTAAGCTAAAAGAATTGGAAGCATGGGCAATCAAAATAGTTTGTGAAATCCTGCTTTTCATCACTTCTTATCGCATAGACAGTCTCTGGAAGCGTTAAAACACTGCCAGACTGGTGCAGATTTTCAGGACACATCCTTCTTACTATTTTATATCAGAAAACTTTGAAAAACATTAGAGCAGCAACAGCCTAAAATGTCAGAGATCTCCTGAAAATTCCCGTTTTCTTGCTCAAAGTATCTCCACGTTTTCTTACCGTTCGCACATGTCATA